CAGTTCTGTCATCGTGTAGCTCAGCACCGAGACAATGACAAAACAGACCGGTAGCTGCAGGACGACAGGATGGTCACCATCTTGCTGGCGCTTAGAGCTCTTTACAACAACCTGAACTGGCCCTACAGCCTGTGTCATCAGTCCTACAAAATTACTACCGGTAGCCGACCTTGCAAGGGTCAGCATAGACCCTCACCAGAAATCAGCATTCACAAACACGCTTCTAACCACCGATGCCTTCACCTGCTTGTATACCAATGCACAAGGTCTTCTCAGCAAGCTAATCGAACTTCGTATTCGTCACGTCGCCACGCTTTGTAACCTAGCTATGGTCACCGAAACATGACTGGGCACGATCACGGATGCTGAGATTGCACTACTCGGCATGACTTCCATACGAAACGATCGAGCTAGCAGAAGAGGGCGAGTCATCCCTTATTATCGATCCGACCTGCATTTCGATATCATTGAGGACCCAGAAACGAAAGTCGTCGATCCTGTTTGGTGTCGTATGCGCCTAAGACGTTGTGATGTGTGTTTACCAGCAATAGTTAACCGCCCTCCAATATCCACCTTAGAAATGGGTCAATGCCTAGTTTCGGCGATAACACGAGTCTTGGCACGACCATGCAGTTCCGTCCTTCTAGTGGGGGAGTTCAACCTGCACGCAAGCGAAGTTCCAGCATCGCGCAGCGAATACTTCAAGGCTGATTTGTAAGGGGCGATCGCCGATATACATCTGTACATACAAGTCACTTCTTCCACGCTAATCCGAACGCATTACACACCCTCTGTTTTTGACCTTCTGCACACCAACGAGAAACTAATGGTCGACACCGTGACCATGGATGCGCCATTTAGCCGCAGTGATCAGGTGATGTTGCTCTTTCGTTACATCTGTCACTCAGAGTACATCAAAGCGAACAACGTGAAAACCTACGCCGTTACACATTACGATATACTGTCAAACTTCGTTCAAGAAACCGACTGGTCCTTCCTGGTCGAGAAGCCGACCGATGTCGCTTGGATGGTTTTGTCATCCAATTCACTGAGCTAGTGGCATATGCCTTAAAAAGAAAGATCATTCGTTCGAAGCAAGTGGGATTGTTCCTGAGGAGCCGCAGTAGAAAACGGATGACCTTAAGAGATTCAGCCTGGCACGCTTACAAAGCCTGCCCAGGTAACTTGACCTAGGGTGTTTACATAACTCGCTGAAACCACTGTGTCAACTTGATCCGGGAAGATAAACTCCAGCACCAACAGAACATTGGGGCGAAAGTCAGTACAAATCCCAAGTTGCTGTATAGGCACGTCAACAAGCTCCGCAGAGGGCAGCGCGGGATCCATGTTTCACATGCAACAGATGGCCTGGCGCAAACTACACAAAATGCGGCCGACGTGCTTCGCCAACACTTCATCCATACTTTCCGGATTGAATCTTCATTCCATCCGCTTTGGACGCAGCTTCCATCGCCACCAGGGTTAAACCATGTATCGTTCACGGCCGCGAATGTGATGAAAACGCTAATGTCATTGCGCGTGCACAGCTCCCACGGAGTGGACGGCATCAAACCGAAGGCATTAAAGACAGTGGCCATGAACCTTGCCGGATCACTAGCTCAGTTCTTTCAACGTTGTCTCGACGAAATGTTGGTTCCCACAATGTGGAAACATGTAGTAGTCAACCCTATTTATAAAAGTGGTAATCGTCCGGATTGCTCGAACTACCGTCCAAGCACTCTCCTCCCAGTTTTATCCAAACTAATGGAACGTATAATTGCAGAGGCGCTCGTTGAATATATTGAGAGCAACAACATCTTAGTGTCACAGCAACATGGATTCCGCCGAAATCGATCCTGCACTACAAACTTGCTGCTAGCTCGAGCAAGCTGGGCAGAGTCAGCCGATGCCAGAATGGGAGTCGACGTTGTCTACCTGGACTTCTCGAAAGCGTTCGATCGTTTGAACCACCGCATTCTCCCTCACAAGCTTCGAAGCTATGGAATCGGTGACCCTATACTCGGTTGGATCGGCAACTTCCCTACCCAACGTCAACTGATTGTGAGTCGGCAGCTCCATTTCCGATCCAAATGACCTCCAGGGTGGCGTGCCCTAAGGATCGATACTGGGGCGAATTTTATTCCAAGCATGCATTACCGAGCTTGCTAGTGTACTTCAGTCGAATTTCCTACTATTTGCAGATGATTTCAAAAGTTCGCATGACATCAGGACATCGGATGATCACATGGCATTGCAGAGCGATCTTGACAGGACTTATACGTGGTCATCTGATAACCGGCTCCAGTTTAACGTGACCAAGTTGTAAGTCGTAAGCATACATCATCAGTTTACTCATGAATATCTACTTGGAGACCAGAAGTTACAACGTGTTTCCCAGGAAAGCGGCCTCTGGGTGATGGTGCAGATCTTGGTTGCTCGAGACAAGCTGAAAAGGCATCCGAAAGAGCCCGTCAACATCCTGGATGCTTACGGATGGCTTACGGAAATTTTGAGCCACCAAATTTTCCGCAAATACTGGACGCCCAAATGAGGTCTCAGGTAGAATATGTGATCCAGGCCTGGCGTCCCTGGCGCCAGCGCGACATCGATGCACTTGAAGCTCCCAAATGTAGAGCGGCCAAACTAGCTAGAAGATTGTTTCATCTCTCCTACCAACGCAGACTGCAGTCCCCCCAGAATGTACGGTGGTGAATATCAACGTCAGCGACGAGACCTAAGCATGGTTTACATATTACTGTCAAACCCAATTCACCCAAGCTGCAGTCTGTTGCAGCTGAGAGGCCATCAGTTCAAACTGGCTGCGTACTACACTTGACTTGACTGTCAAGGAAAGGTTTTCTCCCTCTGTGTGTCCAGTGTCTGGAATGACCTTCCGACTCAGGTCATCCTTGCCCGTACATTAACGCTATTCAAAAAAGGCTCTGATGACATGCTTTCCAACTTGCATTACTTGACGCAGCCTGTTTCGCTGGTAGTGAAATAATGCAAACCAAATCAAACCGCAATGTGGCGATGAGGATACTTGTAGAAGTGTCCTTGTGAGTAGCATAGGTGGATCTAAACTGGATTAACATTTCACGTCTGTCAAGTGAAGCAACACGCCAGTGCGCGTTGTCCCTCCCTTTTTATTTCTCATACAGTTACTTAAATATAACGGCTCTCTATACCATTTTGTGGGTGCACATCGCATTCCCATTTCAAACTATTGTTATGCGGCAGTGTATTTAAATTGGTAGAAGCTTAAAAGGACGATTTCCTTATTCGTTGATGCATTCAATTTTAATTTGCACTCCAACCATCTTACGGGACTAGTCAAGAGCTTGATTATTTTCCCGTGTTAAATCACTGTTCATTATGGTTTTGGCGAAGAATTGATGTATCCAGCGCCGGGAAATCGACAAGCTACTGCATATGTCCAAGATAAAACGGTGTACTATCGCCACATTCGACGCTTGAGAATAGCAGTTACAGGAGTGCTTTGCCGGACGCAGTATTTCGTTTTAGGATAGCTGCTTTAAGCTTTTCGTGGGGTAGATGATATCAATAACTTCTGTAGCCATATGTGTAAGCAACTGAGCAGTAACATATGAAAACACTGTAGACTGCGAGGTAGTATTGTGAAAACGGAAGATGGATTCAGCTTAAACAAACACACGTGTGGGTTTGATACGTCGAAGAAAGGCAAATAAAATGCAACGGAATTTTCAGATAAATATTCACAAATAGGGTAGTCACTAATGGTTAATATAGACTCATGCGTCCGGGGACAAGTTGTTCTTTGCCAAAGCTGACACGGCAAAAATTAGGGCTTATTTTGCAAACCAAACTCCTCCGCATGAATTGTTCGTTCACGTACATAACTAACGATCATAGTGAGCCGAGGAGACTCCTCTTCGACTTAATCAAAGAAGATGAATAACTCAAACGTCCGCCAAGCCGTCCGCGTCCAGTAATTGCATCCGTTACGTCCGTCCTCCATTGCTTGTCTGGCTCACTCGTTTGTCTATCTGTTTACTCCGATATGGCACTCACAACGCAATGTTGAACGAGTACTTGCGTTTGATAAACCGGAGTCACCAGTTAATGTAGTGGACCGTTACGTAAAATACACGAGTCATGAAGCAAAATACAGCCCTAGGCAAATGCCCACACATTCGAAGTATTATCTAGCACGTTTAGGTTATAATCCCTCCCTTAAGTACCATCTGTCAGATGCCGACTGGTGATTGGAAGATATCTATCCGACTGCTGGAAAAACGTAGCAACAGTACAAGCACAGGCAGCACCAAACATAATCAGCACGACACAAGCGCGTTTGTGGTCGTCCGTTCAAGATTCGTCAGTTTAAACAAATGGTACAACATGGTCGATAACGGAATGGATAAGTAAGATAAAATATGACGTATTCACATCGGCTGCAAGGTATGGAGGGAGATCGGTAATCAGAAAATCAACTGCAACAAGTCCTGGACTGTTTTCTAGATTGGTCAGACATGAATCTACTTCCCCGTAAACTTGGAGTACTGTAAGGTAAAACACATGCGCCACAATGCAATTAGACTATATAGGCTAGGTGTTCATCACTTGAAGACCGCCTCACAACAGAGCAGCCTGTGGTGGTTGATCCAAGCTAATCTCGGCTGTCAGCCTTGCAGTGCTCTTCTAAATTGTGTCAATTATGCGCCCACTTCATCCAGCTTTAAAAGCCGACTTAACGATGCATTAAATTAATTGCATTACTTGACGTGAATCCCGCTCATCCAATGAGGATAGATGCAAACATTGTGCTCACCAGCCCATACGAAATCGAGCTAGAAGAGTTGGCATGCGTGTAACGTGCTTCGTATGGTGAGTACGTTCATGCACGGTTTACCTTGGAACTTGTGTACTTTACACATGGTATCGCACGCTACACGTTAAGCCGTGGCTTTCTTTATATCCCTATTATGTCACTGTATCATTTTCAGTTCAAAATCTAGTCAACCAAAATAACTCACTTTCTCCAATCGATCGGGTAACATTGTTGGTAGAAAAATCTTCATCAGACTAGTTATCCCAGACTCATGCCTGTTAGGAATCCACTTCCCCAGATGCTACGTTGTGACGAGGGGGAATGAGAAGAGAGGCAAATGGATGATTAGAATTACACCTGGCCTTTGCACAAATACACATATTCAAGCACTCAGTATACATATTTAGTGTGGTATACTATGTATCTAGTTGGGCATTGGGAAGCGGCATGTGGGAAAACAAAGCTACGTTACCACGACATGATTAAAGTGAGCCTCTCACGTTCTAATCTTGATTGCGTGTCATGGGAATCGAAAGCGGTTGATCGGCGTGCATGGCACGATCTAATCACGAAGGCAGTTGCCGAAGTGCGCGAGAAACACCTCATACATGCAGAGAAGAAGCGGCAAGTGTGGAAGCGGCAAGCACCGATGGGTTATACCCCATTGATATCGAGCGCATGGTGCTGTAGCACATGCGGTCGCGAGTGCCTGAGTCAGGCAGGCCTGGTGAGCCATCAGCAAGACAACTCGGGACCACTACCGAAGCGACGACGTGTCCTGCAGAGGACGTAGGCAGAACCGGCGCAGCGTTTGTAGGCAAGCTGCATTCGGTTTACTAACCGCGTGCTTGCATGCTAAGTCTATGTGTTTCAAGTGGTGGGTTTTAAATTTTGTCCTAATGCTTTTCTTTCCCATATAAATGTCTACCTGAACTCTATTCCATAAACCTGCACACGTCCCTTAAGCCAATTGTAGTTAATTTCAATAACATTTTCGTGTTGGCGGCATTTCCAGAAAATATACTTTCTGACCTCCTGAACCTATCTCCGATTCTTTTATAAACAAGTGATTTCATTTGTTCATTAATGTAAGGTTTATGTCACCGTTTCCTTATGCATTACTCGATTTGTTTTATTTGTTATTTCTCTCAAGTGATTGGCTGTTGCTTCATATCCCCGGTGCGGTTGTGCTTGATGTGCAAGTTGAGAAGGTGCCTACCTGTCTATAACCCACTACATCGTTCATATTGGTTCTAGGAGACAGTCTGTCGTTGCTGGAGGGGACATGGTGCATGGTCCTTTCGGCCGTGTTATGATCAAAGAGTGTTTCCATGCACTTAGTGTGGAGCGGACTAGGATCCAGCCACCGCCTTTTGTGTGCGCTTGATTCCCAAATACATCGTGCTTGTGTTTGCCTGTGAAGGAGTGTGAGCCGGCTCCGTTGATGAAACGTGACTCCCATCCACATGCCTTCCGGCCTTATTCCTTCGGGTTTACACTGGATATCGGTGTGTGGATTGAGCTGTGTGTGGTGCAGCGCAAGCCACCCATGGTCCCTCTGCAGTCGCATGCGTCCTGTGGCTCGCCACAGTGACAGGCAAATCCGAAACCGGATGCCGCCAAGCATACTATGCCCCTGCAACACCCACAAACATACGTGCCCAGGTCACAGCGGTTGAGATTCAGTGATTTCATGCACTCGTAGAGTATCGCATTGTGTCTTCCAGCATTCATTGGTTAAGGTGCACACTCGGATATCACGGAGCTTTCAAATGATTTCCGTAAACATAGTCCATACGACATTAACACCAACATGCTATGAGCATTGGAAAATCGGTTAAGGCTAGTTTTCGACTGGCTCACAAAGAGACATCAATGTATACACTACATCTGCCACTACCCATGGAAGACGCAACACTTTTGTTCGAATTCTTCGACAGAGAGTAGGGTCACTGCTTTACAGTTAGCCCGATATTGCGCTAGAGGCAACAACCATACTACATGCAGCAAACGTCGAAGCCTCGAATCAAACGAAGAAAGGTGAAAACAACGATAAAGCAATGAGTCTGTGCCACTGTACATTTAGCGACACTATTGTCTGCGGACTGAGGCTTCTGTTGATTTCCCATGGGTCCTGTGAGTGTAATGCGCTGTCCTGCGCTTTCTATCTGATAAGAGCAAATAAGATCGAAGTTGGTCGTGGAGTCATTCACTTTCGGGTGGGCAACGCCTAATGTTCACATGGCAAATATTCTACCTAGCTATGATGAACTTGATAAAAGCTTGACTGCACTGCAATGATGACCCCACCACGTGCAGCGGTAACGCCAGTAGCCTGATGCACATGCACTTACATTAAAGGCTAAATGCATTGGAATTTTTTAACGGAACTGACAGATGAGTTAAGGCTAAGTGAGAACCACTTGTGGTGAACATCGGTCCTTCAGCGACAAAGCGATTAATGAGTAAAAGAAAGAGGTGGGAAACTGCAATACAACTGGTACAGCGCTTTCATTTCTAATTGACAGACGGATCATCGCACCAACTTCTCACTCATAGAGTCCTCCATATGCCCGGAAAAGCACTAGACGGCCGTTTGGACACGTTGAATCTTGTCAGTTGTTCACATCCATCGGCTCTATCAGGATCCGATCCTATAACTACCGGAGGCCTGAACCGACACCCAGCAGTTTATGCGACTGAACCATGGGGATACCTACGGACCTGAGTGTTTCCGACCCAGATGGACTTTTGGATCTCTGATAGTTAGTACCTTTCTTTTTCTTCTGTCTTAAGGTACATTATTCAAAATTGGCTGTCGTAAACTGAGCGGTTTCCATTCACCCTTAGCACCAATCCATGGTGTGTCTCCCCTCAGTTTGAGATAATGAAGGGACGACAATTCGGAAGTTGTGATTAATAGTTGTCTGCCCCCTCTCTTGCTGTTAATTGACCATTTCAACTGGATAAGCTGCGTTTCAATTTAATGTACACCTGATGTCTAAATGGCTCAACGACACCAACTATTACTTGCAAAGCATCCTGACGGATTGCTCCGGCTACTGTGTGTTCCACATTCCCTGTTATTCTATGAGATTACGGCTGTGGGCAGCCCGTGCAGTACTCGTTGTAGTCTGATGCCTTGCGTAGGAGCTAATGTAAAAGGGGATCTTGTACCGTCACACACACACACACTCTCTCTCTCTCTCACTGTATTATCTTTCTCTAAGCTTTATAAGATATGCCGCTGTCTATCTCCTCACATTTTTCTTAGCCCTACAGCCACCGATCTGTTGTTTGCTATTGTATTCGACATTCAGTTCAAGTTGCTTATACGGTTGGTTGGTTGGTTGGTTGGTTGGTTGGTTGGTTGGTTGGTTGGTTGGTTGGTTCGTTGGTTGGTTGGTTGGTTGGTTGGTTGGTTGGTTGGTTGGTTGGTTGGTTGGTTGGTTGGTTGGTTGGTTGGTTGGTTGGTTGGTTGGTTGGTTGGTTGGTTGGTTGGTTGGTTGGTTGGTTGGTTGGTTGGTTGGTTATTGGTTGGTTGGTTGGTTGGTTGTTGGTTGGTTGGTTGGTTGGTTGGTTGGTTGGTTGGTTGGTTGGTTGGTTGGTTGGTTGGTTGGTTGGTTGGTTGGTTGGTTGGTTGGTTGGTTGGTTGGTTGGTTATACGGTAGACAATTTTTTGTTGCAGACATTGGACAGTTTTATTCGCCCTAACAGTTTGTTAACGCTAGATCCTATAAAGTTAAAAGCACAGCAAGGAAGCGTATTGTCTCCTTACTACCATTAACAATAACCGATATGCACAGATATAGTCAACATTGGATGGCAACAAACAAATTTGAGGTGCGAAACGAATGACGAATATTCACACCTACGTCTAGTGCCCCTTTAGACTGACAACTAATTGTTTTTGAACGCATAGGGATGGCTTCATCCGGTTTATAGCGACAGCCTCAGCAAGGCGAAAGAAAGCCAGGATAGGCGTGACTTGACACAACTTTGAACGCTAAGTCTGACTCTATCCAGTGACCCTAGAACAATAGGTGTTTACCTATCAAGAAAAGCAGCAATCTGCGCAAGCACAGAAGTTGTGTGTGGTATGGAATATGAGCTTCACGCTAAACGCATCTTGACACATGCTACTTTATTCGGGAAGTCAAAGTCCTACAGGTCCCGCCTATGTAAGTGGCTCCGCAGTCATACACAAATGGATATTATACACGTTATGAGTTGGCTCCGATAGGCTGAGCTTCCTTTGTTGGAGGTATGGGTGTATTTCAAGTTCGACTGATGACGCCGACTTGTGCAGCTTAGTAACTTCCTTGTGTAGGTAAGGTTACACGCTTAGTTGCCTTCAGAGTGATTTAATCACCTTTGAAAGGTAATGATTTCACCTATCCGCTAAATCAGGATCACATGCGTCTATTTGTGGATTCGCCCACCGGATTTCATGTAATATAAGCTGCATGTCCATAGAAAAAGCCAACTCACCAGGTATTTGTCCATGTCATAAAAATGCCAGTAAAAGTCCTTGACATTCCACTTGCTGTATGTGGCTTGGACCAACGGGAGTGTTGCCCTCTCCACAATGACATGCACATGAATGGCGGTGCGTGTGTACTCCGCACGTGTGTCATTCAAGCATGTGGAGGTCGAAGTTACTTCTATCTTATTTGCTGGGAGTCGGTGTTGGAAGTACAGGAGACTTTTGAGCATGGTAACTGATCGGTGAACAGTTTCATTGCCCCGGAGTAGTTGAACAATATGTATGCATTCGTCCGTTTCGGGTACTTTAGGTAAGACATTCATAGAAATCTGAAATAGTGTGAAATATAGTGTCTCGTAATTCTTTAGAAGACACCTGAACATAGTTTGCAGTCAGTGTAGTGTGCAGCAATAATTAACCGCTGTAACCAAGCAACCCGCTTTCAATGTGTCTTGACAGAGTTGAGTCGTCACAATTCACACAGCGTATCATTGGATCAATTATTCCCCCTCTCCCGCTTTCTTTATCCCAACTGTACCTTAGTAAGCTACACCAGATTCCCATGTGAAATATAACCTTACGTTGCGCAAGTGATTGCTGTTTCACCTAGGATCTTTTCATGTCGGAATGCCAAATGATGCAAATTTGTTCGTCAAATCCACATCCTCGCTTGCGGGTCACGTTGATTTCACCCTGTGACTGTTGCACGAAGGACGCACTTTCAGACCTTCCTCAAGAAGCGTGAATGAGCATGGATCAGGCCCTTTGCGACCTCAACCATCGTAACTACACTCCGACTACACACCACGGAGCTATGTGTGAATCTACCGGATGACTGAGTTCGACAAGAAAGAGGCCCAAAGGTTGACACTCAGCCTGGCTGCTCTGAAGCGGGTCCATAATCAGGTAATAATTATACACATGCAACTGTTCGCATCACTCAAGCCACGAGGTTCCCTTATATTCACTGAGGAATATAAACTAGATTTGATGACATGTTGTCCGCTTGTTCAACCGTTAATATCCTGCATGTTGATAGCTTATAAGAACTTGCCGTCATTCATCACATTGAGAATCGATTGTGTTACTGGACACCAAGCGAAATGTGATATTCTTAAATGGAGAAATCATTTATCTTGTAAAAGGATACACATCTTGTAAAAGTATACGCGTTCACTCTTCGCTTATCGTCCTTCCGGATAGTCATCCCATCATCGTCTGTGGACAATCTCTCTCTTCTTGCACTCCAGATCAAAAACCCCTGCCGTCCATTTAGCCCGTTCACTCACTGTCAATGCTTTGGATAATTGCTAAACATGCGGATGGGAGTTGGTTATAACACAATCACCTAGTTGTTCCAACACCTGATTGTAATTCGATAAGCTACACAATAAGCTACACAACGGTTGGGTCAGAAGCTTATTGAATACTTTGCTGTACTACTGTAATCCCAAAACAGTAGTTCATTTACAACTGAATAACTATCGTTTCATTGTGAGGTATTAATATTTTTCCTCGATTCATGGTGTAAATCCATATCGTGAACTTGGTAAATGTGAAGTATCAAGTGCTATTCTACCCAGTTTGATAGAAGTTCTTCGGTTTGAATTTACAGTTATAAATGTTCCAACCGTTCCCTTTCGGGGTCAACTGGCAGTGGTTAACACTAATACCCGATGGGTGCCTGTGTTTACGTGTCTCCCAATTTTCTCCTTTTGCTATTTGCCGTGAATTGCTGAGGGTTTCTTTTTGCATTCCTTTCTACGATGAATACAGTTGGACTAAGCTCATATAGTCATAAAATTTGATGACCTTACTAGCTGCAAAGTAATCTATACTCGACCGGCTCCTCCGGATTTATGCATTACAATGCGTAGGCCAAAGATTTCGTCCCAGCTTAATAGAAAACGTCTATTCAAACAACCTGCGTATATGACCAAGAAGATTACAGCTAGTTAATCACTGGTACGAAGCTCAAAAGTTATGAACCTATGGTAGACTTCGAGTAAATTCCCACAGCATACCACTTGGGATGTTTAACAAGATTCAGTTGAAAATATTACCATCTATTTAACAACCTGAAATACGTCCAAATAGAGGTTATTTCACTAGTCGTGGTGAAAATGTGGGCGCCGAGTCTTTAATTTGAGATTGGATTCTCTACCCAACAACCATCTTCACATCTGCTCAAGCTACTATCGATAGGTTCATTGTAGCACAAACCACAAATGACACTTATGCGGACTGTATACCCACTGTTTGAGGAGGAGGTGCCTCCTGAGCTGAAGAATGCCCTTGGGCTACCACTGTACAATGGTAAACGGAGCAAGCAATGTTACACGAATTATCGTGGCATCAACTTGCTGAGTTGTATGCGCAAGGTGATTGCTCGAATCCTGCTCAATCGCCTCGTCAGTCAGGTTGTAGAACCGAAGGTGGCAGAGACAGAGAATTCATCCCAAAAATTGATGTAGAGTCTCAGCGCCTTCTGTATCTACTTCTTCGTTTCTGGCCAACCACATATAATAACGTCTAACAAAACTATAGACGTTACATCTTCCTCTGTGTGACATTTCATTCAGATGATCTTCTGTCACCGCTATGTGTTGTACTAGGTATACTGCTTCGACCTCTTTTGGATTATATTTAGATACCAGTAGATAAGCTCTCGACAGCGTGTCCGCAATTAACATATGTGCACCAGGCGTGTACACAATATCTAGGTCCTACTTTTGGAGCTGGATAAGCATACGCTGAAGACGACGAGGAACGACGTGCAGCGGTTTGTGGTCGGTATACACAGTTGTCTTTCTTCCACAAGTATAATAGTTGAAACGCTCCATGACATATACTACCGCGAGCATCTCCTTCCCAATCTGCGCATAGCGCTGCTCGGTCACGGTGAGTGCTCGACTGCGAAAATCCAAAGCTTTTCCATTCTGTAAGAGAACAGCACTTATTCCGTCCGGGCTATTGTCACACTACACCTCCAGTGGCTGCGCTGGATCGTAATATCCGAGCACAGGCGCATTACTGCTAAGGTGCTTAATAGTTGCAAACGCGATTTCTTGTTCCTCTCCCCTGATACACTTTACTCTTTTGTGTGTTAGCTTCCTGATCGGCGTCATGATCTCAGCGAGTTTAAGCATACAACGACTCAACTAATTCACCATACCGTTTAAGCGATGGATTCGCTTCATCTCGTTGTGAGGTGGCATCACTCGTAGTGCCTTGATTCTTCCTGCATTAACCCCGGTCCCTTGGGTGGTTAACACATGCCCATGGCAAAAGACTTTGCCTTTACGAACCTCAACTTGCTGGCGTTTAGGCTTGATGATTTTGCACACAGTACTGCAAGAAACGGTAGCGATTAGCGTCATCCCTACCTCCCGTCGAGCCATAGATCAAAAGAAAGTCTGCCAAGCATATTACATTGTATAAATCGTCTACCGCTTGCACCAATCGTTATTGGAAACTTTTATTCAAAATCATGAAACCGGATGGTATACGCATCCAAAGATAACGCCCTAACGAAGTTCCAAATTTAGTAAGCAAACTGGATTATTCTTCTAGAACCACGTGCCAGAAGGCAGAAACAGGTTTATCTTTGTGAAATACTTAGCTTTGGCCAAATGCGGCAAAATGTCTTCTTGGGTAGGTAACGCAGAATGCCCGTCTACGCAGGGCCTCATACAACAGTTTCCGATCAATACACACACACACTTCGCCCGTCTGCTCTATAATGATTGCGACCTGACAAACGCACTCCGTTGGCTCGTCAACTTTGCTAATCATACCCTGTCTCACTAATTTGCTAACTTCAGCGCGGAATCTGTCACGTAGTGCAAATGGAACTGTCCAAGACGGTAGCGCTGTCGGTCGTATCAAAGGATCCAAAGATAAGTGAGTGGTTCCCTCAAACTTTTCCCAACCCGGGCTAAGCACAGACGGATACTGGTCACTAATATCGGTTTCTCCCTGGCAAACATTCATAAAACGATCACGGTTAAAAACAAGAAAACCGAGAGACCGGATCGAATCAGTGTCGAGAATCAGCGTGAGCTCTCCACCCCGACCACGAACTCTGGTTGATGTGAGGCTCAGTCCCTTAGGTTAACAAATCCGACTGCAGCCGAGCCCTTCGGGTGAACTCTGAAATCATTCCAAATGCGTAGTCAAGGTTTATAGGATCGAATACACACTCCGGGACAATGCTTCCTTCATAATATATTGACGGTAGCACCTGTGTCTAGCTGGATTCGTACGGCTTTGCCTTTGATCAAAAGACTTGCGCAGACATTTTTGCGGTACCCTCCGAAAAACACGTTGTCAGTTGAATGCTCTGCATCTGCTGGTGAGTTGTCACAAACGAGCGCACTCACATCGGTTGATTAGCAGCAACGAACAAAGTGGTTCCTTTTTCTAGTGCACTTCCGTCCCTACGCCGGACACCTTTCGCTATCGCTCGGATGTCGCGCGGCACAAAAATTGCAGATATCTTATCTCAGGTTAGTAGCCTTCGCTACTTCGCCTCCGGAAATGGCACACAATACTGCATCTGTTGCAAGCTTCATTTGTTCGTACTGATAGGTGGTCGAAGACAATGTGTTGCAGACATCAATGCATTGCTGGAGTTATAAGTTGGGTTGTCGCAAAAGCCACTTTGTTATGCTATCATCATTGATTCCTAAAGGGATCTGATCATGTATGCATTTACAGAACTTGCGGCATGTGGCTAAAAGTCTTCAATTCAATGATATACGCGTCGATGGATTCGTTTGGACTTCTGTTTTGCGAAAAGAAAAGATAGTGTCCATGGGTCACGTTGGTTTAAGCTTCACAAAATTCACCGAGCTTTTCAATGACTGTCATCAAATTATTGGGATGTCCACCTTTGTCGTAGTGCAATGTCTGTAGAACACGGCGCGCGTCATCGCCGGCTGCATGTCGAAACATGGCTAAGCGATACGCCATCTGTTGTTTGTCCAAACGTATAAAGATGCATAAATGCTCCCACTTGCACTTCCATAGACGCCAACCTCCGAAACATTGCTCAAATCTGAGAAACTTTCATGTATGTATACTAACGCCCAAGGGCACCTCAGTAGACTTACCGAACTTCGATTACGTCAGGTTGCGAATGCTTGGGACCTAATATCTATTACCGAAACTTCGTTACACCAAGAGGTGACTGATGCTGAGATTGAGATAGCCGGAATATCACTCATCCGGAACGACCGACCCAGCAGAGGAGGTGGGGTCCTGCTCTACTACAGCAGCAATCTACAATGTACAATAGTCGATGATCTGGAAATACACGTTA